CTTTTTTATCTTGGCAAGTGTTGGGTTATGCATGTCAGCTTCTTGTAATTATTTTTTATAGGACGAATTTTCGTATTCAAAACATGTTTAACCTCTAGCGCAAAAGTTTAAGAAACGCCACTTGTTGTGCGATTGTTAGGCAGCACAATTGTTCGCTTCTCTTCTTTATAACACGTAACGAAAACTTCGCACCGCTGATATCAGATCATCCGGTTGGATTCGGGAAACGATTTTAGGTGAGTTCTGTTTTTAATCATTCTCAAGTAGTACTTTTTTATGGTAGATTACTTGCTAGTAGAGCGAAATAATCATATTTTCGTTGTTGTGTACTGGGGCACAGACCTTGCTGCGATTGTAGTTGATGTAAGAAATATAAGCTTCCCGGTACCCATGCGGCAGAACTAAAGCTGCGCGTGGTCTCTTTTAGTTTATTTTTAGCCATTCACTTTTACCGAAACAATGTTTGATGGGCATGAAGATCTTTTTTTTTTTTTTTTCAAACGACAAATCAGTCTCGTCGACGAACGGATTCACTGGGAAAAAGCAAAAAAAAATGTTTGATGGGCATGAAGATCTTTTTTTTTTTTTTTTCAAACGACAAATCAGTCTCGTCGACGAACGGATTCACTGGGAAAAAGCAATAAGGGTCAGAACCTTGACCAGAACATAAATGAAAGACGTATTGTTTAGACTTCGGATGTGCATGTGGCCGAAATGAAAGTAGTGTTTGTGTCACAGGAAGTCTCACTACTCTAACCTTGAAATTTTCCAATAGTCCCATGTTCTAATCAATAAGCACTAGAGCATATTATTTTCCCTCAAAGTAAGGAATTTTTTTTTGAATAGGGGAAGAAGTTGATCTTTGTTTACACCACTGTAGCTGGTTTAGCTAGGCTAGAAAAGTTGAATTACAGTGTACTACATTTTTCCGCATATGGTTAGCTCTGCTGATGGAACTGTTCATAATTCATTTCAACAAACCTGACAACAGTTGTGGAAAATAATTTATAAATGTTATGTATTAAAACAGATTGAATACAATCATGCCAGTGTAAGCAATAAGCATTGATGTCTCGAGGACCATTAATGTACAATTTTTGAAGCTTATCTAATAAATTCCCTAAGATTTTCTGAACTTTGATTTTTCCCATTTAACTCCCCAGGTTAAGCTATTTTTCGTATAGAAAGAGCTAGAAAGGAAACCTAACATTTTTGAAATAAAAAATGCGATGCAGAGAGGAATCAGAAAAATTCTTACTTTCCTAAAACTTTAAATTGCAGCTTAAATTTTCAGGAGAATAATACTGAAGCCCTCATAATTTCAGAAAGACTCAAGTTTAGCCTGCAAGCAAGCTCTCCTATTCGGGCAAGCGAAGCGAGTCTCGCGAGAACGCGCGAGCAAGGGGCCGAGGAAAGGAGAGCTTGCAACCATCTCTCATAAATTTTGATTTCCACCCCGAAAATCCCGGGACTCCGCAAAGCGTGAAAACTGTCACCGCAAACGTGCCACAGATTAGAAAAGTGACAACCGCCTGTCAAGTAAGTTTAGACACCCAAGGGCGCGTAGAACTATTTATTTATAAATCGCTTTCGCAACAGCATTAAAGCAATGTTTTTAATCACTTATATGGTTTTTTTTTTTTTTTTATGACAAACCGGTCAAACCAGTATACTTAATTAAATCCACCACATTTTATTCATGAGATGAGGACAATAGCCTATGACGTCATCGGCGTTAATGTATTCCTCCCCACCTTAATGAGAATCCTCCCCAAAAAACCGGAGTAACCGGTCCCTCCTATACTACTCATGTTCCGGGTTTTATCGACGCCCATATAAAATCATGTATTTGTGTTTTCAAGTGTCCTAAACAATTTTTAACACAAGGTGTTAGTACAAGGAGCTATCATCTATCAACTTCAGATGTTAATTTTTAAAATTTTTAAAATTTTTCAAACTAAACTAGCCTGCGAGCAAGCTCTCCTATTTGGGCAAGCGAAGCGAGCCTCGCGAGAACGCGCGAGCGAGGGGCCGAGGAAAGGAGAGCTTGCAACCATCTCTTATAAATTTTTATTTCCACCCCGGAAACCCCGGGACTCCGCAAAGCGTGAAAACTGTCACCGCAAACGAAAACGTGCCGCAGATTAGAAAAGTGACAACCGCCTGTCAAGTAAGTTTAGACAGCTGAGGGCGCGGAGAATTATTTATTTATGAATCGCTTTTGCAACAGCATCAAGGCAATGTTTTTAATCACTGATATGTCTTTTTTTTTTCACGAGGACATCGAACTTCAAATGTCCGCTCGGACAAGAACTCAGTACTTTGATTCTCGTTTCGTTTACTTTCTGCAGTGTAGACGACTACTCCCCATCGCAATCACCAATAAAAACATCATATATTTGTCCGTCTGGAACTGGAGAATAGCGTTTTCCTGCACTTGGTTCTCTTAAGGTTTACTCCAGTTGCTTCCAACTCTTTCTTTTTTCCTTCTTTACGATCAAGCCACACAGCTACACTGTCAAGTACACGTTTCTGAATTTTTCTACCCAGTAGAATTCAATCGGGCGAAGAAACCGATGTTGGAAGACTGCGCTTTAATCACTCTTCACCTCACTCCTCCGGTTTATAGAACTAAACGAAGCGCTTGACACAAATGAATACAACTGATGAAGGGTTTTCATTTTCCTTCCACAAGAACTACAAATTCGGTCCGACTTATCCTCGGCACACAATATTCTCTTTGCGAGAATTACATCAAACGAGCCCGTCTGCATTGAGGGCTGAAACAAGTTCCCGGTACCAATCTGATCCCCCTGAGAACCAAATTTGACACACCGACGAAGCGGGTGCCAGCTTGGCCTGTTATTAGTCAACTTTGATTTCCGGAACGCCATTTTTCAGCCAATGGTATTTCCCTTCGTCTGGGCAAAGTACAAATGAAAATTTGTAAGGGATGGTTGCAAGCTCTCCTTTCCTCTGCCCCTCGCGGTTTCGCCGCTCGCTCGCGCGTTCTCGCGAGACTCGTTTAACTCGCCCAAATAGGAGAGCTTGCTTGCAGGCTAACTCAAGTTGCCCTAGGATGACTGAACAGATGAAATTTTTTGGCGTCACTTGGAATACATTTCTAGAGATCTAAAAGTGTTCTGAATAGCCTAAAAAGTGTTTTCAATGCATTTAGGAGGAAACCGTCGTTGGCAACCCCTGATGCAGTCGAGTAAAACAGTGAGCTTGACTACTAAAAAGGCTTGTTTATGTTTTCCTTAGCACCATCCCTGGGTAAGCATACCCCTATGGTTACTGGCCGTTTTGATACAAAGTCCTTTCATATACAAGTTGTTTCGATACAATTTCGTTCCTTCAAGGTGTACCAACAACAACAATGGTTACAGTTTATTCAATTATCAAATAATTTAAGTCTATGTATGTACCGGTAAATAGTTTCACATACATGTACTTGACTTAAAAAATGAAAAATTTTCACCCAAAATGTTTTCCTTGTTCAAATGCAAACATTTTTTAAGTGATCAAATTTTTGCAAAATTTCACTGCTTGATTTCGTACCAAAACGACTTTGACTCAAAATGACCGGTTTCCATACCCCCATATATTTTATTAATGAATCAATTATTTTAAAAAATGAATCTTTTTGTGTGGTTTCCATCATTACATATGTAATTGTTGTTTTATTATTTAAGGATGGATCAAATACTCTAAATGTAATCTTGACATGTATTCTGTTGTTTACTTTGTTTAGATGTTGCTGCATTTCAATTATTGTACTTACAAGATGGATAGGATGGCTGAAGCAACAGCGGTGGCCAAAGATAAGATTTACATTTTTTTGTTTTGTAACACATCTTTAGCTTATACTCACATGTAGATGACTTGTGTACTGCTCATTTGCTATTACTGTAGCTAAAATAAACATCTGTATTGGTCTTGAAAATAAGCTTTTTTCATTTCATTGAAGCTTCTCCAAACTAAATACATGTAGGATAAAACCCTTGAAATTTGTTGTTCATTTTCCATGGTGAAATTTGGAACGTCCTGATTGCAGCCTGAATAGGAGATACAGTTCCACTTGTATGTATATGTATTCCAGATGACTTGTACATGTATGTATTGTTGATGTCACACTTCATAAACATAGAATTTTGCATTTTAATGACACTTTTTTTGTCATTAATGGGCTGATTTGCACTGTAGTGCACCGTACTAAAGCCTGTTTTTTTCAAAGGATAAACACGAATACCGCGGATAACTGGGCTTAATCTTTATATTGCATTTAAGGCTGATATAGCTTGTTTCTCAAAGATATTCTGGAAACTAGGATTTAGCATATTTGTCAAAAATACCCTGTTTAACCAGACTAATTTTTCACAGTTGGTTCAAGCCTGCTTAAACCCTTGTTAATTCAGTTCTTCAAGAGCCAGGTTTAGCCTGGTTTTTCTGATTATTGTATGAGAAAAAAGGCTAGCTAGAAAAACCCTGGTGTACCAGGATAACCTGGTTTATTGACTTACTTTAAGAGCTTGGTTAAGCCTGGTTTACCAGTCTTGCCAAGCTAACCAGGAGTACCCTGGTTAACCAGGCTTTTTGCACATATGGTTTAAGCCTTGTAAGCGTGGTTCATTCAGAATTTCACGAGCCTGGTTTAAGTCTGGTTTTCCTGGTTCTTAGATTAACCAGGCTTGCCAGACTTACCAGGAATACCCTGGTTAACCAGGCTTTTTGCACATTTGGTTAAAGCCTGGTAAGCCTGGTTCATTTAAAACTTTAAGAGCCTGGTTTAAGTTTGGTTTTCCTGGTTCTTAGAATAACCAGGCTTTTTGCACATATGGTAAAGTCTGGTAAGCCTGGTTTGAAAACCAGAAAAGTCTGGTTGGTTCAACCAGGCTTGAACCCTGGTAAACCCTGGTTTAACCAGGCTTTTGGCGCAAGGGCCTATTCAATAATATTATTGCTAAATATACAGCCGAAGAGCAATTAATATTCCACTTACTTATTTGTTGCAACTGCACTGTGCTTGTATCAGTATTTACTGCATTAGTGGCCTCGCATGTGTAATTTCCAAAGTCCTGATCACTGATCATCAGCACATCTACTGTGTTTATCAAGTCTATTACTTGCTTTATCACTTTCCCACTCGGGTTTTTCCATGACAAGGTTGGCGTTGGGGTACCATCTGCCTTACACGTAAATGTCACAGGTTGTCCAATCCAAGACTGGGATATCACAGGAGTGACCGCCTCTACTTTCGCTGCGTCTGTGAAATGTAATCATGCCACTAATCAAAGGCTAGAATACAGCTCATATAAAAGGTATCGATTTTATGCAAATCTGAGGACTGAGCTGAACAAAAATTATGCACTTATATTAACGTTGAGATTCTTGTCGTGCGTTGCATTTCAGTTTTTTTTGTCCTTACTTATCATTTTTCGTCTCTTTATTTTCAAGTTAGCGGAGGAAATGCGAAACGCCTTATGGTGTACGCGACTGTTCTCTACCAAGCAACGTATTAAGGTCACAAAAAGTCGGTAAAAATATCCAGTAGTGATCTCACGAATGAGTCTGGGAATAAAGTAAAAAAAATAACTGTAAATAATAATAGTAAAATATATAAATATTTACTGTATAACGAACTAAATAAAAAATTGACGCTGAGACCTGTTTAGCTTACATATGTAGGTCACTAAATCTTAGGTTACACGGTTAAGCTCAAAAAGTAAAGCACATGTACTGTTGGCATCATAATCCGTTTCACACAAGCATGCTTCATGAATTATTTAATCTTACTCACATTGTACAGTAATGAAGACATCACGGATTTCAATGGCAAAACCATTATCAGCAGTGCATCTATAACCTCCCTCATCGCTTTTACTGACGGCCAGAGGAAAGGTGACGCGACGGTTACTGGCGAGTCTTGTCCATGTGATGCTTGGAGGTGGATTACCATCAGCTGTACAGTTTAGTATCACCTTATCTCCATCATTTGCAGTCTGATTATCAGATACGTATGTGATTTTTGGCGGCCCTAACAAGTCCATAAAGTGATAGCAAGTGTGATTGGCAAGGATGTTTTAAAACAACACCTTCCAGCTTTGTTTAAACTACTTCGCCATTAAATAATGCAATCAAAAATAGTCACAATTATTATATTACCATTGATGAAAGTTTGTTACAATACTAAGAACGGTAACAAAAACAACAAGAGTTTTTTTTAATCTGAAAATGAAGCATTTCTTCGGGTATACTATGAGACACTCCTCTGACTGTTGCAAATGCACGAGAGTGAATAGGTTTGATGTAAAATTTAAGTCAAGTTACTAAACATAATATACTGGTTAACAGACCATGAAACAAGGCAGTGAAAAAAGATAAAAGAAAAAAGCTCACCAAACGCTGAGGCGTAAGATAGCATAAATTTTAGATCTCTCGAAAGCTTTTGATACAGATAGTCATTCGATCTTATTTGATAAACTTGAGTACTATGGCATATTTGACTTGGTTCTGAAATGGATAAAAAACTATTTCTCCAACAAGCTTCAATTTGTAGAATACAATGGTCATTTGTGCCAGTATTGTAGGTAGTGTTCCCAAGGTTCTATTCTAGTATCTATATTTTCTGTTCCTTACATAAACAATATTAACTAGACATCTACTTTTTTACAATTCTGTATTGACGTCATTTTGCTGATGATGCAAAGGTTCTCCTGTCTCATAAGGATAAAGACTGTTTGGCTAATGTACTGAGCACTGAGCTAAGTAAGTTGTCGGTTTGGTTTAGAAACTGAATTAAAGTAAATTTATTATTGGGCTGCCTGGTGGCAAAGCCCCAAGCGAAAGACGGAGGGCCTAGTCTGTGCAGCAGAAAACCTATCAAGTTACGTTTGCCGTCCCCCCTACGACGATAAGGCACCGTTTTTACTTACTGGGGGGGGGGGGGGGGGGTTTTTGGCCGTTGGTAAATTAAAAAAAAAATTTTGAAAAAAAAATTTAAAAAATATTTTTAACAAAAAAAAAAGGAGGATGTACGTCCATTTTTAAAACCAAAAAAAAAAAAAAAAAAAAAACCACACAACCACGACCCCTTCAAAATCTTTTTTTTTCAACTTTCACACACACTTAAAAGAGTCCATTGATTAAAAAAATATAAAAAGAAAAATTTTGTGTGGGGCCGGGGGGGGAGAAACACCCGAAGGAAAGGGGGGGGGCGGTTTCGTGCGCACAAAAAACCCTGAACATTTTTTGGCCCCCCCCCCCCCGGGAAAGAAGGGCCCTTTTTTTTTTCGGGGGGGGGGGGGGGGGGGGCTCTTGGGCCGTAGGTCAATTAAACACTAAATGTTGCAAACAAACTTATAAACATATTTATACCGAAAACTACATGAGGATGTCAGTCCTATATTTAAACCTAAAAAAAAAACGAGAAAAAATCCAATGCTACGATGAGCTTCTTAGAATTTTTTTCTTCCATTTATCACGAAGTTTAAATGGAGGTCCTAGTCTGTGCAGCAGAAAAAGACGATAGAAAACGGATCAAGGTACGTTTGCCGTCCCCCTACGTTACGGCACCTTTTGTAATTATTGGGGGGGGGGATGTGGGTGGGTCAATTAAAAACAAAATGTTGCAAGCAAAGCTTATAAACAAACACACTTCTACCAAAAACTGCGTGAGGATATCAGTCCTATATTTAAACCTAAAAAAACTCCCAACATATGACAGTAATTTATCTCTAATGTTATTGCTGTCTCCCTGCGTCCCCGTGAGGAAAGTCATTCCTTACAGGAAAGGAATATGCTATTAGTAGATCGCCCCGTCAAATAGAAACGTTTTCACTTGCGTAGTGTATTGATTACCATAGTAACGATTATGTACTATTACCAACATCAGTGAAACTACATGTATTAAGTGATATTAAAGTAATACAGCACGAATGTTAAAGTAGCGATACGAAGTGAAAGTAGATTATGATCTGTACTAAGATAAAAATAGTTGTTCAGTTAACAAAGGACATTATGTAGAAAGCAATGAAATTGTATCTCTTTGTCTCATGACTACACAACACATTAGCGACGCGGATTAACTTGTAACTGCAGACCAAGCAGACGACGAAATTGAGCAGCCAGAACAGGCAGCACAAGCAGAGAATACTGCTCCGCCAGACCCGGCAGACGAAGATGAGCCAGACGAGGCTGAACCAGACGAAGTTCTCGTTCCACGAGAAATGGAACGTTCATTGCCCGCACCCACCGCATTCAACATTGATGCGACTGATCTGTACAGCGAGTCGAAACACTGGAGTAGTGCGTTTGAGATCTTCTCGATAGCATCTGACCTACAGAAAAATGAGGATGCAGTTCAGAAAGCCACAATGCTGCATTGCCTTGGCCCCGCGGTGCAAAGCATTTTCAACACTCTCCCTGACGAACGCAAGAGCCTCGAAGAAGACAAGACCGCCTTGAATGGGTACGTTGCCCCGAAACGGAACGTGGTAGTAGAGCGCTACAAATTCAGGTCGAGAGCACAGAAGGCAGACGAGTCGTTGGACGCGTACCTGAAGAGCCTTCGAGAGCTGGTAAAATCTTGCGACTTTGGCACTTTGGAGGAAAAGATAACAAGAGACCAAATTGTCCAGAAGTGCCCTTCCCAAACCTTAAAGCAGAAACTGCTCCAGCAAGAAAACCTTGACCTGGCAAAAACTGTGAAAATTGCGCAGAATGCAGAAACGGCCGTACAAAAAGCGTGATTGCTGTCTCAAGGCACCAGAGAAAACCCGATCCAGATCGACCACGTGCACGCTTCTCGAGGATCACAAGCAAAACCTTTCAGCTGCTACCGATGTAGTGGAACAGACGGACATGCTCCTGACGAATGTGGCGCAATCAAGTCCAGGTGTAACAAGTGCAAAAAAGTCGGGCACTTGCAGAGGGTTTGCCGTTCAAAGTCCAAAGCTGACCAAAGGAAAGGTAAGAAAGGAAAAGAAAAGAAACCACCCATGAAGGTCCGCAGCTTGAATTCCAAACCTGGTACAGACTGGCTTGAAAACAGCTCAGATGACGAGAGTGAAGAACTTGTACTCTTCCTCAACAATGGTGACAGTTCCATCACAGTGAGGATTAACGAACAAAGGATCAAAATGATCGTCGACACCGGTAGTAAGTACCATATAATATTCTCAGACTTGCATAAGGTGCAATTTAAGAACTATGAACTGAGTCAAACTCAAGAACGTTTTACTGCGTATGGCCAGAAAGATCCATTAAATTTTAACGGTTACCTTACGCTGCCATTAGGGTAGGCGACAAAATCGTCAATTCAAAGATTTATGTAATTGAGGGTAATGCAGAATCATTACTTGGACGAGACTCTAGTTTTAAGTTCGGTCAGAATAGTAATCAAAGTGAGCTGGACTCATTTCTCAAGGAGTACGATGACGTTTTCCAAGGACTAGGGAAAGTTTCTGATTTTGAGCATAAAATTATTATTGACCCAGAGTTCAAACCTGTAAGTCAACAGCTAAGTCGCATACCTGTCAGTCAAATTGAAGTTGTGAATAATGAACTTGACAAAGTGTTAGAGCAAGATATTATCGAAGAGGTTGCTGAAGCAAGTCCTTGGGTTTCCAATTCAGTGATTGTTCCTAAGAAGTCGGGCGATATAAGGGTATGTTAGAGAAGTTAATAAGGCTGTAATTAGCGAACGTTATGTTTTACCTAAGATAGACGATACTTTACATGCTATGCGCGGCTCTAAGTATTTTGCAAAGATCGATGCCAAGAGCGGACTCTTTAAGCTTACGTTGGCTGAGGAGTCGCTTTACGTTACCACGTTTATTACGTCTCGTGGTTGCTACAGGTTCAAGCGAACTCCATTCGGTCTCAGTGATGCGAGGGAAGCTTTTCAAAAGATGACGGACAAATTCTTGTTTGGCATTGAAGGTGTCCTCATTTCCGTCGATGATGTAATTATATATCCCAAACCATGACCGAACTTTTAAAGCATATCCGCAAGGTTTTAGATCGATGTCGACAGTACAACCTCAAGCTCGATCGTAGCATATGTGAATTTGGAGTGAAACGAATAACGATTTTAGGACAAGTTGTTTCTGAAAGACGAATTGAACCTGATGTGGCGAAGACGGAAGCTATCAAAGCTACGCCTCCTCCTAGCAATGTTTCTGACCTCCGATCTTTTCTTGGGACTTGTGGCTACGTTTCTAAATTTATTCCAGGTTACGCCAACGTATTTGAACCCCTTAGAAAGCTTACTCGTAAGGGATAAAAATGGACATCATGAGAAAAAGAAAAAGCAAAGGCATTCAAAGCCTTGAAAGAGGCACTGTCAGCAGCACCAGTTTTGGCTTGTTTTAGCTTAAATGCCCCGACTTACGTAATCACATACGCCAGTCCAGTTGTTTTAGGTGCAATTTTATTGCAAGACCAAGTCAACGGTGAGCGTAAAATGATCGCGTACATTAGTCGTTCACTCACATCGACGGAACGGAGGTATTCACAAATTGAGCGCGAAGCGTTACGTTGAGTATGGGCTGTTGAACGTGTACACAGTTACTTGCTTGGCATTGAGTTTACTTTGTTGACCGACAAGCCTCTTTCGTCTATGTTTGCTCCATATTGAAGCAAAGTTTTACCCCCTCGAATCCAGCATTTATCTTGAAGGTTACACCAGTACAGTTTTCGTATCCAGCATATCGCAAGCAACACCAGCACAGCAGATTCGCTGTCGCGATTGCCATCCAAGCAAAATGATTGTTCAGATACTGGTTTCGTTTGCGAAAATTATGTACGATTTGTTAACATGTCAAATATGTCAGATCTTCAAGCTGTCACTCGTCCTCACATGAGATCCGAACCTGGCGAAGATGTCACGCTGCTCAAATTACTTGCCGAAATTAAAAACGGAAAATGGTCACGCGATACTGATCTTGAACCGTATAGCCGCATAAAGGAAGAATTGTCTATTTTTGAAGGAGTAATTCTTAAAGGAATCGAATTGTTGTTCCAGAGTCTCTGCGAAAACAAATTCTATCACTAGCGCACGAGACACATCAGGGAATTGTAGAGACAAAATAATTTCTTAGAACTCGTTTTTTCTGGCCCGGCATGGACGATGCAGCAGAGAAAATGATCAAAACTTGTCAAGCATGTGTGGTGAATCAGCCTTTGAATAAGTACACGCCGCTTCAACCAACGCCTCTACCTCGTGGTCCTTGGGTAAAAGGCGCAGTGGATCTCGATGCTATGGTACACGGAAAAATTATATTGACCTACACTGATTTTTATTCGTCTTATCCGGAAGGGTACATCCTAAAAGAAATCACTTCACGCGAAGATAAGGCCCTAACTGATATTTTCGCTAGATTTGGGTTTCCAGAGGAACTTGTTTCAGACAACGGAAAACAGTTCATCAGTAAGGAATTCGAAGCGTTTCTCAAATCGTGTGGAATAAGGCATATTCGTGTTTCACCGTACTATGCGCGAAGTAACGGAAAGTTGGAGAGATTCCACTGATACTTGAAGAAAAATTTTCGAGCGGCGATCTCTGAAGGCAAGTCCATGCAAAAGGAACTAACGAAAATCCTTAGGACTTATCGCGCACGTCCACATCAAATAAGTGGAAAATCGCCTGGCATGCTGTTGTTCAATCTCGAAATTCGTACGAAGGTACCGCACATCAATTCTAACTCAAATACAGCAGCATCGGCACTTGATCGCGACCATCGATCAAAATGCAGCTTGTATCAAGCGAAATTGAAAGACTACCATGACTCCAAGCAATAATTTTACCAAACAATAATTTTATCCCCGCATAATTTTAGCGTTGGCGATGTCATGTTTTGTGCTAATATAAAGCCTAACAAATTGGACTCGAAATTCTCTTTGGCTAAGCACGTTATCATTGAGACCAAAGCGCGAGACAAGTTCAGTTTAGTCAACGTGGACAAGGGTACCACTTTGGTTCGCCATGCAAAGTACTTAAAGCATGCGGCTAGTAAGAGCATAGATGATGATAGCGTAGTAGCAATTTCTACCAACGGTAAGGAGTCTAACAATTCTAGTGACTCTAGTGCTAAGGTTTCTTACGCTTCTGACAACACAGAACCTTCTCGTCATGTTGACGAGCAAGCCTCTCAGAATGAACAGGTCATCACGACTAGGTCAGGACGAGTTGTAAAGTCAACTAAGGACCGCGATAATTTTGTATATTATTGACATTGACTTTTTGCTGATTTTATATGACTTTGTGACTTGTTAAATGTATCTTTCGAACATTCTTAGAACCCGCCTGGGAAGGATTTAGTGTATTGATTACCATAGTAACGATTATGTACTATTACCAACATCAGTGAAACTACTTATACTAAGTGATATTAAAGTAATACAGCACGAATGCAAAAGTACTGATACTAGGTGAAAGTAGATTATGATTTGTACTAGGATAAAGATAGTTGTTTAGTTAATAAACGACATTATGTAGAAAGCAATGAAAGTGTGACCATCTCCTTGTCTCATGCCTACACCACAACTTGAATAGTTAGAATGGCTTTAAACGCAAAATCCAGTAGAAACAAAATTAAAACCTAATTTGTTTTGCGAGTAGTAAGGAATAGAAAACTACTGCTATATAACAGTATTTCAACGGTTGACCCTGTCACGTTTTATAAGCCCAGAAGGACAATAATTTTTGGAGTTTCCGCATAGATCGAGTTAGTCATGTTCTACTGCCATGCTATATTTATTTATTTTATTTACTTAGCTTCGCCTAACAAGAAAAACAACACATACATGAAATAATTGGTAGGCGGGGAGACCACTACAACCGAGCCAATTACAGTGAATCCCACGTTAAATAAAATTTATAATCAATGACCAAAAGATTGCTAAAGGCAGCAAGAAGGCGGGCGCAGGAGGGTCTTCGCCGTGTTGCACTTGGGACAGATGGTTCTCCAGGTGCTGATGTCGTCAACATCGTACAGATCTAGAGCCCTATTGTAGCATTGGAGTAGTTCCTCGCGAAGCGTCTCGCCGCCAGGTTTATAATCTCGTCCTGTTTCCCACGAGCATCGCAAGGCCGGCGTGATTTTCTCTTTGGTATAAATCTTTCGCTTTTGGTTGTTGTCCACCTTGGCGTCATCCAAAGTAGTGATGTCAAAGTGCACCATGGGTTTCAAGGCAACCGATTGCCATGGATGAAAAAGGCAGGCAGCACTGTCATATTTTGTTCATGAAGAGCTGACGGGTTTTTTCAACTGTGAATTGCTACAGTGAGTCACCACCCAATGTCTCAAGCAAATGAACAGAACAGAAAACTCAACAATGGTTGATTCAACAAGTGGCTGGAAACCCTCTTGGGGTAAGATTTACCAACGAAACTCCGCAAGAGCGAGGAAAAGCAAAGGCACAGCGAGGGCAAACGCTGTGAACAACAGAGAGAGGCTACAGCGACCACTAATATGAAAGGAGGCAGAAACAAAATACTACAATATTACACTGTAAACGAAACAGACGAAGAGAGGGAACACCGACAACCGATGTTTCAACAAAATGCGATCAATAAAATTCGCAACGAAACCGATGAGGAGAGGCAACGCTGGAAGTTTACAGTCAAAATTATCTTATTCGATACAACGATAGGCAGCAAGAACTACACCATCTGTCATATGCACATGAGGGACATCTTTCCAACGGACTGAGGACAGCCAATCAGCCTTTTCACCGTTTTACAGTGAGCTTTATTTTACAATGAACAGTTTAAAACACCGAAAATGTGTGACATAATTGTTTGTTCATTACCAATACACGTCAATAAGGTACTCATTGCGGCTCAGGCAATCCGATATTTGCGGACACCAGTGACCGCAGAAGTGAATAAAAAGGGGTTCTTATAGCAGACGTTCCTTCCCTTCTCTGACCAATCACCTCCTCCTCTCTCCTCCTTTCCCCTCGCCTTTCGATTCTACCACGCAAGCTAACCCCCAGAGCCTGTACGAGCGTACGCTGACATTCTAACCAAATTTAGAATTTTTCCATCGTTGCCTTTCCCATTTCTTTAGCAATGAAAGCTTTGCTGCGTGCGCTCCGCACGCTCAGACACTCTGCTATAACGTGGACGTAGAGATCAGATCAGGTAGTCAAAATGTGGCTCACAAGAGTTTAAGAACAACAGAAAATTATAAAATTATAAAATTGTCACCCAAAAAGAGTGGTCGCGGTTGCTTACCAAAGGTGGTCATTCTATGCGAGAAGCGTGACTGAAGGAGTAATATAGTGTTTTAAATAGGTGGTCGCTAGTGAGAAGTAGTACATGTAGCTAACAAGAAATGGTTGAATATGGAGTTTAGACTGCAGTGATCAAAGTAAATAGAACATACAGCATCGAAAGTGTATGAGACCAGGATGCGAAGTCTACTTTCCTTTGACGGATAGTATATACGGTCCGTAACACGAGGACGCCTAATACGAGGTCGTAACATGAGGTCGAGATGCGTTCAATACTAATCCCTGCGAGCGCGGAATGCCGTAAAAGCGGAAATTGGTTATGCATGGTTCAATTTGATTTGTTGCCATGCCCCACTCCGGGTATACCCCTGGGGACTTGCATTTTTGCCTTTCCTGGTGGTCTATTCCCCACCCCTGGGGCACGCAGAAGGAGACAATTCCACACCCCCAAGCTCCTGATCGACCTCATGTACGGTTTTTTTAGGTACATCTTTTTTAGAGCGATAGCGATTTTCGTACAATAGCAAAACGTGACGTTTTCAGAACTTTCATAAACGTTTCCTAGAGTTTATTGAGAGAAGGATAATATAGAGACATGTATGTAGTTAAAAGACGAACAATAGATTTGAAAACAAAAAGGAAGAAACTGTTAAGTGCTCCTTGATATGATAGAACACTTCATAACAACACTGAACTGAATCTCTGTTGAACTATGTATATTAAAAGCCTTGTATCCGCTTTCATATACAGTCTATTTACGTTGTCTTGTTATTAAACTTGGCTGAAAAAATATTTTTCTTTGTTTCTTTTGCAAAAAAATCCATAGGTACCATCATACGCACCTTCGTTTGAAATTTTAAAGCATACCTTCAAATACAGCTTTTAATTTTGCAAGATTATTCCTCCCCAACCACTCTCTCTCTCTCTCTCTGTTTTCCCTTTTAAATACGTGGTCTTGCGTTCCGCAGCTTCGTGCAAAGACGAACGATAAATAGCACGTACTTCTCAAATCAAATTAAGTTAAAAAATTACGTTATTTACCCTCAGCAGTATTTATAGCACTTATGCTAGTGGGGCCGAGCAAATGATTGAAACAAATAATTCAAATCATACATAAAAGGGTTAAGAATTCCAACTGGCCGGAGGCAAACCAGCTGGCTATTTACAAGAGGAGACGAGGATTTGAACTTGGGAATACCGAGAACTAATCCAGCTGGCGGTCAGGGTGGGACTTGAACTCGGGGCTTCCGAATTGCAAGTACGGCGCTCTAACCGCTCAGCCAGGCTGCCTCCATAGAGGAGAGAGGGTATTCTTGATTTTCCCCACCACCTTATTCCCGGGACAGGACCGTTTCAAATAATTCCCTACCAACGGGCCCGAAGGGCTAGACTTGTCTCAGGGGTTGCTCAGGAGGATGGTAACAGGTCAAATTGAACCATGCATTAATTATCAGGTACTAGAATTCTAATCATTTTGACTCCATCAACAAGAATAACCATGCTAACTTTTCCTGCGGAAAAAAAAATTGAAGAATAGAATGACACTTTCCGGGCCTTTTTCTTTTACAGAATACGCACACAACAAAAAAACACCTTCCGTCAGTTCTCGTCCTCATCCTCGAATCTAAAGATCCTTACTAAGACACATGTACATACCTACAAGAACCAACTGTACGAAGTCAAGTATGTAACCCTCATTTGGGTCATTAGGTTTTAGCGAACAGCCATAATATCGCTCATCATCTTTTGCAACATTATATAGTGTAAAGCGAGCCTGACTAGAGGACAAGTCTCCTGTGCGAACTCCATTCACACGACCTTTGTATGCCCCAGGAACTGATTGAGATTGCAGCACATCGACACCACGGCTGTCTAAAGATACTAAACTTCCTCTTGGTTCGTCAATGTCATTTACAGCATTATTGGCCAATGCCCAGGTTATTGTGTCAACTGCACCGGAGAACGTCCACGTAAATGTCACAGAATGACCTATCCTTCCTGTCACATTCTACTTAGCATATAGGGCTTGGAATCTTACCGACTGCCCTACAACACAAACATAATAACACACAAGTTAAAAGACAAGAAATCTCCATTGTCAAGAGGATTAACTTGTCACAACATATTATTAACTTTAAAATTGTTGTATTTCTTAAAACCAGTTAAAAAACTCATTAATAATTTATAAGCCCATTGACCTATCAATGGTTGATAATACATCACGTGCAGTGACTTTAATCGATAAAGCCACTCCTTATTAGAATGCGGTGTTTTCTCCGAAATAAAGTCATTGCACGTGACTTATGAATATTAAATATCAGCACAGCAACTGATAAAACAGATGTTCTTTCAAACTTACAAACGCAGTGAGTTTACAATTGCACAAAAATTATACTTTGAACTTTCACCAAAGTTCAGTGACTCAGCGGTAATATTGGCTATTGTCCAAACGTTGCACTCAAGAGACTTGTCAGTTGTGAAAACGCAAGGCTAGAGTACTGGATTTTTGTTTTCCTACCATGCGGCCATTCCAGAAAATTTTTTTGAGACTAATTTTTCACTACACGTGTTGACTTAAAGGCAGTCTGTTTGATTAACTTTGTCTTTTCCTCGGCATTCCGAAAAGCTCTGGAACAGGACGTCACGTCCTCTTCGGTTAGTAGGGAGCTTAAGCAAAGACGACGACTCCGTTACGACGGCAGTGAAATCGTCGCTAAAAAGTGAATTCGCGTCCTTTGAAACTTTTTCGCGTCCATTTGGACTCGCTCGAT